AATGGGTTTCTCCTTGGTAGTTCCTTGATTAGAGTATGCTTGATTGTTTGTCTGGTGTTTTGTTTGGTGTTAATCCTTGCTTATCTGGGTGCCGAATAATGTTCTGGTCTTGTTTCTTCCTTAGATATTTTTTTTGTTTCTTTGAATGTTGTGTAAAAGTAAAAGGTAACAAGGAAACAAACAGACCAGGACACATCCTTTCTGGCTGCCTGCACCCAGATAAGCAGGGATTAACACTAGACAAACAATGAAGCAGAAAAGTACACTGTAGTCAAGGAACTACCAAGGAGAGAAGCACACACAAACATATCCAACAATTGCAGGGCAAAGTACTGAACATAAACATAAACAGAGAGCAAACTTCACAATCACTAGCACCAGTAACAATACCTAGATAATTAAGCAATCAAGCTCAGGGGGCACTAAGGACTCCACAGTTCAACCCCGAGTAACATATATTCTCTTCTGTTGGAAAATATTAATTCTTTGATGCCATTTGGCAGTTGTCTGCTATATTTCATATATATCCATATTTGTGGGTCTTTCTAAGATTACTCCCTGTAGAAAAGAATATTGAATTGTTTATGACTTGAGAAAAAGGGAAACCTTTCTCTTTCTAAGAATGCATAATATCTCTCCTTAGGCTCCAATGATTACCATCTTTATACTCATTGTATTTATATGCTCCTCGTAGCTACACATTAGCCAGCTACATTAATTGTACTATTGAACAGTTTGAAAGGTACCCTAAAGTTCCATTCCTCCTTTGGAAAACATGTGACGAAACAGTCTTTGGCAGGCTTTATAGGTCTTCAAAGCAATTATTTAGATTGTGTTTGCTTCTTGGTATTATTAGATTTAATTCTTCTTTTAAGGATTATCATTATAACGGAGACCCGACTGTATAATGTGCTCGGAAGAAAATTATGTTTTAAATACAGGTTTTCAAAAAAAAATTCTGTAGTTTGTGAATTTACTAGTAGCATGTACAGTACTTTTGTGCAATGGTCATAAACATTTCTTATGAATCTTTACATGTATGTTAAAGCATTCCAGTGGTTAACATGAATGTGTGTGTTGCCATCTTACTTCTGTCCCACACAGTTTTTCAACCATACTGTAATGAGTATGGAGTAATAAGTGACTCTTCTGTTGTTAAGCCTGCAGTGCAAATGTGGCTTACACCTGTAGTTGTGTCCACATTAGTTTTAAATTCCAGTTAGTACCAAAATCCCATTCCACATTTGCATATTACATTGAATTGTATCAGATGAGAATAAAGAAGCATCCCATTCCAGAAACCAATCTAGGGAAACAATTATATATGGATATACGTCTCTGCTCTTATATTGAAGATTTACAGCTTAGTAAGGCTGCACCCACTTAAACATTGATTGGGAAGAAGTATTTCCAATCTTGAAAGACTGCAATTTATTAACGTAGTCCAGCTTTTTTGCAGGTGTTCTTAAGGTGTGGCTTTAAGCTAACTATTAACATCAGTGCAACTGCTTTTATCAGGTACACAACTGTTTTTATTAGGTACACAAACGTAAAAAAGATCAGGTTGTTTTAACGAAAGGCAGGTACATAATATTATGTTTATGTGAGCTTCAAAGCACTGCCAATCATTTTTATACTACAGATAGCCCTTCTGTTTAGCTAATCATAACGTTTTTATGGAATAGATCTATCCATATCCTGTCGATATTAAGAAACTGCATTGTTTCAATGTGCCACCGTGATACTAACACAGTATTTAAAAGCGTACCAATATTGCACAATAATTATACACGTACTTAATTGCTTTCAAAATGTTGGTTTTTTCCCCCCTATTGTTAATAACAAAGGATAAATTTCTCACTAAACTTACCCTCCCCTTGAAGCACGAGATGGGTGGCAAATAAACTGGATAAATAAATTGCTTAATTGATATTCAGACCATATGGACTTTAAGCGTGCCATTTTTCTATCCGCGCTTGAACAATATACTCAGATTTGATTAGAGAACAATGTATATCCTTAACGCTTTAGCGTATTCTGAACAGAATATGCGTCTTGAGCCCTTCTGGTATTTTCCATACTTTTTGAATCATCCCCCCCTCCCCGCAAATGTCCAGAATGATGAGCAGCCTGCTCCATAGACACTGGAAAGTTTCATGGCTTTTAACTTAGCTCAAATCCCTAGAGCCAGTTGTTCTTAAGGATTATTATTATTATTATACTTATTATTATTATTATTATCTTAGCTCAAATCCCTAGAGCCAGTTGTTCTTAAACTTGAGCCCCGATGTTGCACCGCAGTCCAAATGCAAGGATGACTTCTAGCCCATTTCAAACAATCATCATCATCATCATCATCATGTGGTTAATCTTTGGCGAGATTCACAGCCTTTGGGGCTGGTTGGTAGCTCAACAGAGTCCTAACCAAGGACCTAGGAACTGCTAAGGTAACGTCGGAGGATATAAGTTGTTCCAAGTAGGGTGAGTTGTTATTGTTGTTGTTGTTGTTGTTGTTGTTGTTTTATTCATTAAACATGAAACTCAGTCAACTGAATATTTTAAAATGTTATTATTATAAAAATAGAATGATAATGATAATGATAATGAT